AGCTCCTCATGCCTGTCCTCCAGAAGTGCACGGGGGGGAATACGGATGGAGGGGACATCACCCCCGGCAGGAGGAGGCGGGGTGATCGAACACCGGATGGAGAAGGCGGCTGGTCCCCAGGCGAGAGGCGGAGCCGGTCCCTTGGAACGAGTGCGACTAGAGACCGGAGACGAAGGCGGCTGCGGTGGGACCGGAGGGACTGGGCGCCTCCGATAGGAGACTGGTGAGCCGGGCTCGACGCGCGGGGAAGGCGGAGCAGGAGGAGGTGCCGCTGCGGAGGATACTGGGGAGGCCGGGTGAGACACGCCGGACGGAGAAGGCCCCGGAGAAGGGGCAGCGGCCGGAGGTGGGGCATCGAAGTCTGCCCAAACAAGCGTCGGGGGAGACAGAGGAGGCTCGCCTGTGGTCGCAGAGTGGAATGGGCGTGTCTCATCGAAGACGACATCACGGCTGCGAATCAGCTGTCTGGTGATTGGGTTGAGGAATAAGTAGTCTGGGGAGTCAGAGTTGTGCCCCAGGTACATGTAGGTCTGGGTTTTGGGACCAAGCTTGCCACCTTGCTTCCTGCGCGTGTGGGGGCTTAGCAACACATACGCAGTACACCCCAAGACGCGTAGAGAGCGGGCGAAAGGCGTGACCCCAAGCCAGAGAGCGGTAGGTGTGGTGTCGGGCCGGTGGGGATGCGGATAAAGATTGTAGAGGAGTGCCGCATGGAAGAGGGCATATCCCCAGAGTGACCGTGGTGCGTTGGCGTGACTGAGGAGGCAGCGAGCGATCTGAACCAAGGTGTGGTTGCGGCTCTCTGCAATGCCATTCTGCTGCGGGCTTTCGGGGAGCGTGAAGGTTTGCCGAATCCCTTGGGCCGCACAGAAGTTATCGAGTTTGCCATTGCGAAATTCTCCCCCGCCATCAGAATGGAGGCACTTCAGAGGAGTGCCAAACGTGACTTGAGCCTGGCGCACCCACGCCATGATGACATCAGGTGCCTCCGCCTTGGTATGCAGGAGGTGCACAGAAACATACCGCGAGTGGTCATCGACTAGTGTAAGAAAGTATCGATGACCGCCTCGGGATGCTACTGGAGCTGGGCCCCAGACATCCATGTGCACTAGGTCCAGCAGAGCAGCTGCGACGGATGGGGAGGAAGGGTGCGGCTGCTGCCTGAGCTTGCTCTAGGTGCAGTCCAGGCAGGTGGGTGCAGGTGAGTCTGTTGGTGGAGGACGCACCGACGGGAGGCCAAGAAGAAGTTTCTTGGAAGCGATGTTGGCAAGTGTACGGAAGTTGGGGTGACCCAAGCGATGGTGGTAGAGGATGGTTGGGTTGGCGAAGCTGCGACACGAACACGGAGTTGTGCTGGCAGCTTGCGCTTGGGAGAGGGCGGCGAGAGGTGCAGGTGAACACAGCGTATAGAGCTTGCTGCTGTTGAGTGTGAAGCGTGCTAGGAGCTTGTTGGACATAGGGTCGAAGAGGTCACAGTGATCCGAGTGTGCTGGGAAGAACGTGGTGACGCCTGCCCGTTGGAGCTCGTGTTGGGCCACGAGATTGTGGCGTAGTGTGGGAACACACATGCCGGTGACACTGCCCGAAGGAAAAGCTGGGCACGGAACTGTGGAGGAGCCCTTGGCGTGTATTGTGAAACTGGAGTCTGCTCCAAGTAGACGGATTGGTGTCTCATATGGCTTGAAGGAATGTTCTTCCTTGAGAACCGTGTGAGTGGCCCCACTGTCGAGGGTGAACTCTATTGTGGCTGAGGTGCTTTGTGAGCCGAGAGACTGCGAAATTGTCTCATTAATCATGGCAGTGCCATGGAACAACATGTGGAGGCGCACATCAGTAGTGGGAGCTACAGCAGCCTGCGCGGATTCGTGCGCTTCGACTTGATTGACTTGGCAAGGAGCACGATTGACCATCCAGCTTGGCGGCTTCGAGCCGGTCCCATTGACGGCATACCAATCGTCATCCTTTTTCTTGAAGCAGGAGGCAAGGGCGTGGTTGGTGCCGCCACACACCTGGCCGGCACGAGGGCCGCGCTTGATGACATAGGGAAACAGGGGGAAGCGGTTGCACTAGAATGGCGACGAAGCGGCATAGGCTTGAGGCACGGGAGCGCGGATTGCATTGGCCTTGGCTTGAGCGCTGTTGTCCTTTTCGGCAGAAAGGAGCACGGATGAGACCTTGGCAAATGTGAGGTCTGCAGGAGCAAGGCCCAAGAGCATCTTGCGTGTGACTTCGTATGCCGGAGTGACGCCGACTAGGAGAGCGGCTGCAGGGGCTTGCTCGGGGAAGACTATCCCCAACTGTTTGAGTTCACCATGAATGGACTGCACCTTGGTGACATAGTCCGCCATGCCTGGCGAGTCCTCGAGCCGCACTTGGAACATGCTGGGGATGAGTATAGCAACTCCCACTGCAGTCTTGTTCAGGAAGCGATCCTCGAGGTAGAGCCAAATGGCGTTGGCAGACGGGTAGTTGTGGTAGGTTTCGACGAGTTCGGGAGGAGTGGTGCCCATGAAGACACTAATGACCGCACCATCGGCCTTCTCCCAATTCTTGTACTTGAGCAGTCCAGCAGCATAAACTGCTTCGGCGGCGGCATTAGCTGGATCGGCGGACCTCTCGGGTTTAGGAGGCTCTTTGCCGTCACCGATGTTGAGAAGGACGTCGGTGAGCTCGAGCCCCTTCACCTCGCGACTGAGGAGGTGCTTGTCGATACCATAGCGCCAAGCCTTGTAGTTGGAGCATGTGCCGTCCGGCTCGAGACGAAGGAGCGGGATCGGGTTGGCGAGTGAAGTGGTTGAGTAAGCCATTGTCGGTTTGCAGCGCGACACTTCTGGAAATTGGTCGACGAGAATTGCTGAAAATCACTCTGACGGCTTTATCAAAATGCTGCTAAGTAGGAAATGGCGTCGGCGAAAATTCGTTAAAACGCCGACTTGAAACTGAATCTGAGCCTATGTCTAACCCCGGACCCACACACCCCCCCACACACCCCTAGGCCCTGTCCCGCAGCTACACAGCTCCGCAACCAGCTCCGCAACCAGCTCCGCAACCAGCTCCGCAACCAGCTCCGCAACCAGCTCCGCTCCGCTTCAATGTGTGTACCTGCTCGTGCTTGACGCGAGACGTTCGTGGAGGCGATTTCGCTAGGGGAGTTTGCCTATTCTGGCGGGGTCTGAGGGGAAACTCGAGAACGAGTTTTAAGAGATGGTCGAAATTGAGATTCGAGCAAGGAGAACCAATGAGGAAATCGACGACGAGAAGCGTGAACGCTTCAGAGATGAAAAATTCAACGAGGTCAAGCGCGATGGCGGTCGACGATGAGAGGCGCGACTGCAGAGTGGAGCACGTCGAAATTCCGACGACTCGAAACGAATGTCGCGACGATGAAGTGCGCGTAGCGCGGGCACGTTGAGATTAGGACCTTGATCCGCGTGTGCGGATAGGTCGCTCTGATACCATGTAAGAAATAGAGTTGAAATGATTTCTTAGGTAAGGAGCCCAAGGCTCTATAAGTACATGGCAAGGTGAGAGAGAATGGATGAAGGGGGAATTGGAGGGAATCCCCATTGGGATCTCCGGAATCTCCAATTGGGTAATTAGAGATTGTGGGGATCACAATTGGGTGAGGTTGGGATTTGTGAATACACCCCAACCCACTAGAACATTCACAACCTAAACTAGGATATAAAAGTACAAATACAAAAGTGGTATTTGCAGTCTATTTCTAACAGTGGCCTCTGTGAAGGCCGAGCTGCTGAAGAGACACACATGCACTGACCTTGGAGAGCTGCGTCGCTATCTTGGCCTGCAGATCTCTAGGGACAAAGCAGCACGCACCATCACTCTGACCCAGACACACTTGGTGCGTCAGGTCCTTCAGAGGTTCGGTCTTCAGTTCTCCTCCGCACAGCCCACACCTCTACCTGTAGACCATGGGCTCTCTACTCCCGTTCCTGAGGAGCCAGTAGAGCCCAGTGGCCCCTACGCAGAGCTGGTGGGTTGCCTTATATACCTAATGACTTGCACTCGCCTCGATCTCGCATACCCTCTCAGCATCCTGGCTCGCTTTGTGGCTACAGGCAGACACCGACCTCAGCACTGGTCTGCCGCTAAGAGGCTTTTGCGTTATCTTGCTAGTACATCGGGCATCGGGTTAGTGCTAGGAGGACGTAGGCCAGTGGTCCTTACTGGGCACACAGACGCTTCTTGGGCAGACGACGTTGAGACGCTCAGGTCGTCGCAGGGCTACTGTTTCAGCCTTGGTTCGGGTTCTATCTCTTGGAGATCCACTCGCTCGTCGTCTGTGGCTCGGTCTAGCTGTGAGGCTGAGATCTACGCTGGTGCCATGGCGGTACAGGAGCTCCGCTGGCTGACCTTCTTGCTCACAGACTTAGGTGAGCGGCCTAGCTCTGCCCCGGTCCTGTACGCTCACAACAGGGCCATGATAGTCCTGTATCAGGAGCCTCGGCTTGAGGGCAGAGCGAAGCATATCCAGCTGCGGTACTTCCTCCTGCACGAGCTACAGCAGCGCCGGCTGGCCCGCGAAGTTCACTTGGCCCAATGTGCCAACACAGCTGATATCTTTACTAAGGCGCTTGCGCCTAAAGATCATCAGCGGCACTGTGTACAGCTAGGTCTTGTTCCTGTAGCTGCTCCCCTGTTAGGATCCTGATTGTGTACTCTGTATTATATATGCCTGTCAGACTGGCCTTGTGGCCTTACCTCCAGTGGCTGGACTAGTAGTGCCACCCTGGGTTGCTTCAGTTTTGGTTGTATTCTTGCTGACTGGTCACCAAACCCCTGCCTCAGTGGTTGGACTAGTAGTGCCGCGCTGAGCTGTTTGCTTGTTTAGTTTCACCCCTTGTCTAGCCTAGGGGGTGTGTCAATTTATACATATTATCTATGTAGAAATTATAGGCCAGACTGAGGTATGCTTCTAGTGAGTACAACCAACTAGTATTTGTTCTAGGTTTCCACTTCTAGTCATTATTCGTTCTCACTTTGACACCCTGGACCCACTCCACCCATCACTGTACACTCACCAAAAGTTGCATAATGCTCTACAGTACTTTTGTGTTACACCACTCCACCTTCAACCTTAAGCGCTGTCCCATGAATTGCAACTAACTATTCTGTTGATGCAATACATGCGACACCTACCGTATGTACATTCCTGCCAGGCTGCTGCCACCACAGCTCCAGAGCTGGCCAACAGCAAGAGGCTGCCGAAACGTGTCCAATGTGCTGCAGCAGGTGCTGGTGTTCCCTTGGTCCCTAAGAAGATCCCTGTAGAATGTTGTTGCTGTTGCTGTTGCTGTTGCTGTTGCTGTTGCTGTTGCTGTTGCTGTTGCTGTTGCTGTTGCTGTTGCTGTTGCTGTTGCTGCGGCTGTTGCTGTGGCTGTTGCTGTTGCTGTGGCTGTTGCTGTTGCTGTTGCTGTTGCTGCTTATTCCCTTATACTCACACACGCTGCCAGCACTAGTGACTGCTCTTTCCACCGCTCCCACCTCCACGTCCCATCACGCATATTGCAGACAGACACTCCCTGCCGCCCTCCAACAGACCAACCACCGAGGCTCCTCCCCTGTCCCCTGGTATGGCAGTCACTGAAGCTCCCTTCAACCACTTCACTCTAGAACTGCTTCTTCACCCGCTGGGACCGCCGCGGGCGCAGGTTGATGCCACTGGGATGGGGCGATGCCTCCCCTGCCACCATGGCTGTAGCCACGTCAGCCACCTGGTCGGGTGCCACGGCATCAAAGCCACCGCCATCAGCAGTGCAGCCACCACCCTCAACCCGCGCAGCTCCAACTGGCAACACTGCTGCTGGTGGCAGCGCGCCATGCAGCATGGTGGGTGGCGGTGCTGCTGCTGTGGGCCCCGCCTGGCTGCCTGAGGGGCTCAAGGCTCGGCCCAGCCCGGCCAGGCCTGCTGCGAGGTGCCGGCTGCCCCACCACCCGCTGCTGCCAGCCCTGTCGCCAGCCGTGGCAGGAGCTCTGTCATCGATTCTGCCATAACTACCAGCGGGGGCAGCAGAGGCAGAAAGACCTGCTGCTCGCCCTGCGCCGTCCTCTCCCTCTGCCTCCACCAGCTCGTAGTCACTGCCCATCCCACTCCTCCCACTCCCACCGCTCCCCCCATCGCTCTCCCCACTGTCACCATCAGAGTCCGAGTCCACGTTCCTGTACCGCACTCCCTGCCTCTGCACTCCCTGGTTCTGCACTCCCCCGCTCTGTGCGCTCTGCTGCTGCAGCTCCCCTCTCCCCTCAAGCGTCTCGTCCCCCTGCAGGCGCCTCTCATAGGCCGCCCTGCCGGCCACCCTGTGCCCCGCGTCAGACCTCAGCTGCACGCCCTCCCCTCCGTACTGCTGCAGGTACTTCCTCCTCCCCCTCAGCCCCTCCTGCTGCTCCTCCTCCGCCTCCTCCCTCCCCCCTCCTCCATCCCCACTCTTACTCCTCGCCTCGACTTCTCGCTCCCTCCTCCTCTCCTCTCCCTCGCCCCTCCCACTCGCCTCCAGCCCCTCAGGGCTGCTGACGCAGCAGCCTGTGCTGACAGGGACGCCAGGTACGTAATGAGCTCCTCGAATCGAGCACCAGTGTAGGCCACGCCAGCATGCCAGCACTGCACAGCCACATCCCTCCCGCGCTCCTCCAGGCGTGCCAGGTGGCGGTCGATAATTGGCTCGTGGCGGGCCAGCAGCAGGTGCAGCATGGAGTACACGAGCTCTGTGCCCTGCGAGGGGGCGGGCCGCGGGGGCAGGGAGGGGGGGAAGGCAAGGGAGGGTGAGAAGACGACATGAGCGGAAGGAGGAAGGGAGGGAGCGAGGGCATGGTGAGGAGGAGAGGGGGAATGGTGAGGAGGGGGGGCAGCAGCACAGTTCAGAGCAGCAGTTGGAGGAGAACAGGCATGGCAGAGGCACGAGCAGGTGGAAGCAGCGAATGGCAGAAGAGGAAGGAGAGCGGAGAGGGTGCTGCAGCCGGCATAGCAACGAGGCTCAGACTGGATTGTGGGAGACAGGGCCGGCTGTACACAAGGCAAGGGAGGGTGAGCAGCCTGGACCACAGACTGGCGACAACGTCAGGCAGCTTGACACGTGAGCGTACAGGCACGCACCTGTGTCTTGGGGTGCCAGAGGTAGACGATCAGCGCCAGCTTGGCCTCATGATACATCGGCACCCTGGAGGGGGGGAGCACAGCCAGGGGCGCATGATGGCATAGTTGTACAATTCACACGTCCCACTGTCACATGCGTTAGTGTAACACGCGTCGTGACATACTTTTCGAGCAAATGATCATTCGTGGTGAACACATATGGAAGCATGGACTAGGATGGGAGTAGCAACCACCACACTGGGGGGTAGTGTTTTTCCATGTGAGAAATACGGGTTGAAACGGCGTGGGGGTGAAACGTCGTGAGGGGGGAGAAACGGCGTGAGAGGATAAAACGGCGTGAGCGGGTGACGCGGTGTGGGGGACTGAAACGGCGTGGGGGATGAAACGGCGGGGGGACTGACCAGTCCAGCAGCGGCAAGGCGAGGCACTCGAGCACGACCAGCAGGGACAGGAGCACCCTGCGGTAGGGAAGGGGCGGTGAGGGGTTGGGATGGGATGGGATGACGAGATAGGGTTGGGATAATGGGCGCGGAGCGATGGGGAAGTGACGCAAGGACAAGGACGCAAGCACGCGGATGAGAGCAAGGGGCGGAAGGTGCGACGGAGCGGCCGAACAAGAGGATTTGTGAAAACGAAGAGAGCAGAAACGCCAACACTTGCCAACTGGGGGAAGGATGGTGCAGGGGAGGGGGGGAGGAACGAGCAGGTCTGAGGGAGGGGGGAGGAAGGAGGGAGCGAGGGGAGGGCGAGGGAATGGCGGGGTTGCAGCGCGGACCAGAACTGGCAGAAGAAGAGCAGCTCGTGCACGTCTGGTCGCCGCCGCCGCATGGCCTTGAAGCACAGGTAGGACGGATACACGTAGGCCGCCGCCATGCTGGGGGGGGGGGAGAGAGGAAAAGATGACCGCAAAGAGGGAGAAGAAGAGGAGGGGGTAGAATGCGCCCCCCCGGACGAGGGGGAGGACGCTGAAAGGCAGAACGGCGCACGGCCGCGGAAGGTGAATGAGCTCCAAGCCCGTCCAACTCTCTCGTGGGAAGAGCAAGTGAGACTGGAGGGCGAGAGCCGCTGGTTCGTGTGGAAACGGCTGGTCGCTCATCCCACTGTGCCAGCAGGTTCAGCAGCGGGTGCAGCAGAGCATGCAGGCAATGTCGGCAGCGGACGTGACGCGCGTTGGAAGCACTATGCCTTCAAAGACCCAATGATTCTGTCGCACTACCCGACTGGGAGAGAATCTATCCTCGGTTCGCTCGTTCCACGATAGCGCGTCAGCCACGGCCGTCATCAGTCCAAGTCCGGAGCGAAAATAAAGCAAAGCCAGGGACCCAAGTTTCTAGAACCTGGGGCAGGTGTTTTACAGTTGGCTGGGAAAAACCAGGTTTTGTGTCGTGAGGGTGCGTGAATTGCAACACTCGCAGGCAATTTCACTGGTGCCTACAGCTCGCCGGCCAATCAGTAGTTTTAGTCCCAACCAGCTGTTTTACAGTTGGTAAACTTGGGTCCCTGGCTTTAAAGCCAGGTAAACTTGGGTCCCTGGCTCTAAGTCGCTTACGTGGCGGCTGTCAGAAGTGGTCTCGGCAGCATGTTGAGCGCCCTCGACGAAAGAGGAGGCCGATGACGACTCCAAAAGCGACTCGTTAGAACACGGCGCAGAGCAGTTGGGAGCCGAATGAGAAAAACTTGTAGAGGAATAACGCAATTAGTAGCGCTAGAAATCAGATGCTGCTCGTGGTCAGCGGATGAGACACTCCTACTCGCGAGGTTGGATGCCTAATTCGTAATGCTGGTTCAAATTTAGGAAAGAACCGCATGAGCATGAACAACTGCTTTTGGAATTTTATTAGACGGAGTGCAGTTGAGGGAGCGAAGCCTGGTGCGCGGAAGAGCAGAGGGAGAGGTCGAACGCTTGTTGTCTGATTGGTGGCTCGCACAGAGCCTCGAGGTTGGTGTGCCCGTCAGCGCAACGGCGCTTCCATTTCGCTTTCGCGCGGAGTCCGCCTCCAGTCGAGTCCTGTCAAGGGCACCTTTGGTTTGCTATTGGCGGGCGGCGGAACGCACTGCGCCCCGTTGTTACCTCTGCAAGGCAAACTGCTGTTCTGCGGGGCTTTGGCGGAGAGCTGGGTGCCTGGGGGAAGCGGTTCGAACCCACAGCTTGGCGGGAAAAGCAACGGCACCAACTCTATTCGTTACAGGCAATTTGAGGCGAACACCATAACGTGATATCATGTGGCCATTACGTTAGAAGTCTTACAATAACACCTGATCTATATTGGCAGTAACAAGGCCTTGATATAAGAGCCTTGAGTATTTATTTCGTACATTTACGAACCATTATGCACATTATGGTGACACATCCTAGTGCTTGTCACTAACACAGAAATGCTAATATTACAGCGTCGAGCGTCGCTGGTGTTGTTTACAACGAGGTTTGCAAATCTAATGGCAGCACCGAACATCCCGCTGCTCCAGTTCGACTTCTCCACTGCATTCGTGCTCGAGGATGGAACAGGTCGCTCAAGCTGGAGGGACTCTGGTTCAAGCATCACCATAATGTCTATGGGACCGTAAGCAAACCCTAATGCTCCATCCCGACGTTTCAGCTCGCCTTTAGAGGCTCGTGCTTCCGCAGATTGCCTTCGTTTCAGCATCAGCGTCACGGTTCTCGCGCTTCGTGCAGTTGTACCCCTCCCGAGTTGTCGTTTCTCGAGATTGTCGGAGGATGACGAGATAGCAGCGGCTTCCGCGGGCTGAAAGTCGCGGCCTCGTCGCGTTCGTCGGTGAGGCGATTCTGACGAATGGCGCACGACGTCAGAAAGCTCGCGAGCTCGCCAGCTGTCGTCCTGCTATTGGTCGCCTCGCATCTCGTCAGCTCCTGTTCCGCATTTCGTTTCAAAGCTCCCGAACCTCTTAAAGGTGTGCGACCTATCTCAGATGTGCGACCTATCTCAGGTATGCGACGCGTGAGCGACCTGTTTCAGGTGTACGTTGCACGGCCGCCCTTAACGTTAAGGAGTACTTTCCGTTTTCGCCCTCCCTGCCCGTCGTCTTGCAGTAGCCTCCGCGGTCCGTCCCTCCCCAACCCCACATCACTTGCTCCCATCCGCCGCTCCCTGTCTCCCTCTTTTCCTTATCGCTCTCTCCCTGTCTTCCCCCCCTCCCCCCCCCCTCCTCCTCTCACCCCCACCTCTTCCCTGCCTTCACATGCCGCACCTTCCCGTGCCAACGCGCCCTGCCGTTCGACTCCTCCCTTCCTCCAGGGCCCTCCATGCGTCCCACTCAGCACTGCTCACCCCGTGCTTGCCTGCTCCCCTCGCCCTGCAAATACAGAAATTTCCGTGTTCTTCTTCCTTGCTGCCCAATCTTCTCTGCTCCCCCTTTCCGTTCTCCTCCCCCATTCCCCTCCCCACATCTCCACCCCACACACCGCAATCCCCCCGTTTTCTCTTCCCCCCAAGGTCCGGTGCGCATCAACTGCGGCAGCAGCGAGCGTCTGACGGTCCACGGCCACACATGGCTGCCCGACTCCTTCTACCACCACGGCACGCCCTTCCACATCCCCCGCCACCGCTACTCGCCCTCTCCCAACCTCCCCTCCGCCCCTCGCCTCTCCTCACCAATCGAAACCACCCTCCGCGCCTTCCCGAACGTGAACAGCAACGGCGGGTGCTACACCGTGCCTCTCGTCCCCGAGACTCGGTACCTGGTTCGGGTGGGCGTCGCCTACCGCAACTACGACGGGCAAAACCGCCCCCCGGCGTTCCACATGGCGGTGAACGGGCTCATCATTAAGACCGTCGCCATGGGGGTCACCGAAAAGCAGTACCCGCTCTCGGCGTACTATAGCGAGTACATAGTGTTTGCGCGGCAGGGTTACATCTCGGTGTGCTTCATGCCGCTGCTGGGCGTGGTGGCGGCGCCCCCCCAGGTGAACTCCCTGGAGTTTCTTCCCATCGACCCCCTGGCGTATGACGCCCTGGTGACGGGCACGGACGTGGTCGTGGTGCCGCTGCTCAGGCATGACTTGGGGGCTAGGGGGGGGGCAGGGGATGTGGCTCCTGTGCTGCAGGACAGCATACTGGGGAGTGGGGTGGGCGGAGGGAGCAGGGGGAGAGCAGTGGGGGGGGGGTGGGGAGGGTGGAGGAAATCGAAGGTGAGGAGAGGGAAGCAGTGGGGGGGGGAGTGGGAAAAGCAGGGGAAGGAGGGGAAGGGGGTGAAGCAGAGGCGAGGCGAGGGGGTGAACGGGCAGAGAAGGGGAGGGGACTGTTGGAGGAGCATGGGGAGGGGGGTGAGGGAGGAATGGGTGAAGGGGGCTGGGCGGCGGAGGACAGTGCGTTTAGAGTGTGGGGCCAGGATCTGGCTCCTGCGTGGGGGGCTGTTTCGGGCAGAGTGGCCCAGCACTCAAGTGCAGTGGCAGCACCAACGGCAGCAGCCCCCTCTGCTCGCACCAGTGACAGCAGCACTAGCTGGAGCACACGAGGGCACCAGTTTGCAGTGGTAACCACGTCGAAGCGTATTGAGGGTGCGGACGTGGCACCGGACTACATACCTTCGGCGTTGTTCCAATCGGCGTGGGCAGGAGCAGAGGAGGCGAGGGGAGGAGGGGAGGAACAGGGGCAGGGCAGAAGCCAGAGAGCACAAGGGCTGCTCTGCTGGCCGAATGATGACAGTCGCAGGGGAAACAGCAGCAGTGGCCTCAGCGACAACAGCAGCAGCAGCAGTGTGGGGCCACAGACGTGCGTTGGTTCGGTGGGGTTCACGGTGCGTCTAGATCCAGTGAACCTGCTGGACGTGCTGTGCGTGCGGCTGTTCTTCGCTGAGGTAGAGGACGGGGTAGGGGTGGGCGACAGGCGCTTTGACATCCGGCTCGGCGCCATGAGCGTGCTGGGGGTGGGGGAGGGAGGCGAGGAGGCGGAGGGGGAGGGGGAGGGGGAGGGGGAGGTTGAGGGGGAGGAGCAAGAGGAGGAGGGAGGGGAGGAAGGAGGTGAGGGGCGGAAGGGGTGGGAGTGGGAGGAGAGGAAGGGCGAGGGGAAGGGGGGAAGGGAGAGGGGAGATGTCAGGGAGGTGGGGGTGGTGAGGAGGGGAGAGAGAGTGAGGGAGGAGGAGAGGGCAGGGGGTGATGGAGGCACAGAAAGGGATGAGGGCGAGAGAGCAAGTACCCGAGGCTTCAGGAAGGGGTTCAGTGGGGGGAGCGTGAAAGGTGCACAAGTGACCTTTGAGGCGAGTGGAGGGAGGGAGAGATGGAAGAGGCGCGGTGAGAAGCTGCAGAAGTTGAGTGCAAGGAGAAACATGAGCGCGAGGACAGTGGATGCGGAGGGGCATGCGGAGAGGGAGGGGGGGGCAGTGGAAGGAGAAGGGGTGGAGGAGGGGACGGAAGGGCAGGAGATGGTCGCTGGAGAGGAGGTGCGTGGGAGGAGAAAGCTGCTGGGGAAGCGGGAGGGAAATGCAGCGAGCAGGGGCAGTGAGAAGGAGACGGGTGGTTCACAGAACAAGGAGAAGCGGCACTTGTCTTGGGCATGGAGGAGAAAAGGCGAGAACGAAAGGGAGCGAGCGAGGCGGAGTAGGAGAGTGGGAGTGGAGCACATAGCGCACACGGGGCTGGACAAGCGGCAGGCGGTGGTGCACGGCAGCGTGCTGCTGGACGCGCTCAAGAGCATCAGTGAGAGCGGCGAGTTCGACACGGGCGGGGGCGTGGGCACACCAGTGAACTGGTACCGCAACTTCCTTGACTTCAGCCTGCGGGAGCTGGTGTTTGGCAAGCAGCCGCGGCCGTGGAGGCAGGAGCGGCAGCAGCTGCTGCAGTGGAAGCATATGCAGCAGCAGCAGCAGGCGCTGGGGCACTGGGAGCAGCAGCAGCAGCAGGGGAAGGAGAAGGCAGAGGAGGAGGAGCAAATGTTTCGTGGCAGCAACCCAGTATACGCCCGGGACTGGAGCAGCACTGGGTTCGACATCCTGGCGGCTGCAGGCGGGGCGCCCCACAGAGCGATCATGGTGCCCCTCTACTTCAACTTCACGCTATACGCCGAGGAGTATGGCCCGGAGCTGGTGATCCTCTTAAAGCCCATGCGTGGCTCCAAGAGGCCGCCGTTGCTGGCGGGCGTGGAGGTGGTGGAGGTGGTGCGCACGCCAGAGGGGGGCCACGTGCCTGCAGGTGAGCTGCTTTGGACTCCACCTCCTTTCCTGCATGCATGCACGGGTGGCAGCGCCCCTCGGTTGGCAGGTGTGGAGGTGGTGGAGGGGGTGGGGACGCCCGAGGGGGGTCATGTGCCGCAGGTGAGCAGCTTTGTCGGTGTGGCAGGATCTCTGGGGTCATCCCAGTGGCCCCATAAAGCCACACAGCGGCTCCAACAGACCACTTGTATTGCCAGGGTGGCAGCAGCGGAGGTGGTGAGGATGCCTCAAGGGAGCCACGGGGACACAGGTGAGGTGATTCCATCCTCACACGCTCAAGCAGCATAAGCAACACGAAGCGCGTGAGGGAGGATGGCCTTGGCTGCAGGCACTCCTGACGCCCATCACGAGATACATGGGCACTCGTGACGCCCACCACGAGATACATGGGCACTCGTGACGCCCACCACGAGATACATGGGCACTCGTGACGCCCACCACGAGATACGTGGGCAGTCGTGACGCCCATCACGAGATACATGGGCACTCGTCCATGGCTTCCCTCTCTCCCCCGCGGGGCGATCCACCAGGAAGCATTGCAGGCATGCTCACTCTTGCCTGCCTTTCCTACGCCCCTCTCACCCTTTGTCCACAACTACCAAAGCCGCGAACGGCCAAACCACCAAAGCACCAAAACACCAAACTACCAACCACCCAACCACCAAACCATCAAGCCACCACCAAATCACCAAACCTCCAAACCAGCGAGCCACCGAGCTTCCAAACTGGCGTTCTCCTGCATTCCATCTCCCGCTGTCCCCATGCTGCCTATCAGATGGCATCGTGGCTCATGCCACCATTGTCTCCCTGGCCTGCATCGCTCTCATCCTTTGTCCCACACCACCGCTCCCCTCCATGTGCGTGCCGCGCATCCCCTCCTCCCAAACCACCTCTACTAGACATGGGCAGCATGCCGAGCCTGGCTCGACACGGCTCGAATCGAACTCGAGCCAGGCAAAAGTCGAGCGGAGGCGACTCGGCTCGACCCGAGCCGGCTGCCCCAAAATGGTTGGCTCGACTCGGGGGTTCAGGGTCCAGCCAAGGGTCGCCTCAACTTTGGCTCGGCTCGCCTCGACTCGCCAAAAGGGTTTCTTCTGCAGGTTTTGAAAAGGTCTTGCTAGATCGCTGTAAAGGTTCTGTAGGAAAAGGTCCCTAAGTCCTTACATCCTTCCTACAACACCAAAAGGTAGTCGAAAATCTGAAGTAGCGGTGTTGGTGGAGAGAGGGCAAGCTAGGGTGGCCAAATAGCTCAGATGTACGCTTAGGCTTGATGGCGAAAACCTAGAATGGATTGTCAACTTCCAGGGGGGGCGAATTTTGACCCCCACGGGCGAGCCGTGCGCTTCGGGATTCGAGCCAAAGTCGAGCCCAAGTCGAGCCGGCTCGACTTCGGCCCGCCGTGAAATTTGCGACGAGTCGAGCCGAGCGGCGCGGCTCGACTGGCTCGACCTGGCTCGACTCGGGGCGAGCTGGCCAAAAAAAAAACCCGGCCCGACTCGCCAAAAAGGCGAGTCGAGCCGGGTCGAGCCGAGCTTGGCTCGGCATGCTGCCCATGTCTAGTTGCGGTACGCCAGGCCCACCTGAACCAGGTACCGAGCCTCGGGGACGAGAGGCACGGTGTAGCAACCGCCGTTGCTGTTCACGTTTGGGAAGGCGCCATCGTGCCTCCCTCCCTCCCTCTCAGCCTTTGTCCACCCCCACCCCCCTCCCCCCCCCCCCCCCTCCTCCTTCCCCCCCCCCCCCCCCCCCTGCCGCTCCTTGTGTGTCACCGCTCCTCACAGGCTACCTCCCCAACGACATTGCAGCCGTCATCGTGCTCGTATCACTGGCCTACATTGCCCTCAAGCTCGCTCCGCTCTGCCGCGACCCCGCCTCTCACTCCCCGCTCGTCCGCCTGCCCTTCGTGCGCCTTCTATCCGGACCCACCAAAGGTGAGCCTGCAGAATGACCTTTGAGTCGACGCGGGACTCATAGGTCAAAAGGCACGTTGCCCTACACTGCTGCGACTACGGCTCTTACTTCCCACCTCCCCCTCATGTGACTTCCCTCTGGACCCACCAACGGTGAGCCCACCAGATTGCGATGCCGAGAGAGAAGCTCGATTGTTCCTTATTCTGTGTGCTCTCGCGTGCATGGGTGCTGATTGCTATGCATGGATGCTCATTGCTATGCATGGATGCTCGTTGCTATGCATGGATGCTCGTTGCTATGCATGGATGCTCGTTGCTATGCATGGATGCTCGTTGCTATGCATGGATGCTCGTTGCTATGCATGGATGCTCGTTGCTATGCATGGATGCTCGTTGCTATGCATGGATGCTCGTTGCTATGCATGGATGCTCGTTGCTATGCATGGATGCTCGTTGCTATGCATGGATGCTCGTTGCTATGCATGGATGCTCGTTGCTATGCATGGATGCTCGTTGCTATGCATGGATGCTCGTTGCTATGCATGGATGCTCGTTGCTATGCATGGATGCTCGTTGCTATGCATGGATGCTCGTTGCTATGCATGGATGCTCGTTGCTATGCATGGATGCTCGTTGCTATGCATGGATGCTCGTTGCTATGCATGGATGCTCGTTGCTATGCATGGATGCTCGTTGCTATGCATGGATGCTCATTGCTATGCATGGATGCTCGTTGCTATGCATGGATGCTCGTTGCTATGCATGGATGCTCGTTGCTATGCATGGATGCTCGTTGCTATGCATGGATGCTCGTTGCTATGCATGGATGCTCGTTGCTATGCATGGATGCTCGTTGCTATGCATGGATGCTCGTTGCTATGCATGGATGCTCGTTGCTATGCATGGATGCTCGTTGCTATGCATGGATGCTCATTGCTATGCATGGATGCTCGTTGCTATGCATGGATGCCCATTGCTATGCTTGATGCGAAGTTGGTCACTGGTGGTGGGATCATGAGCAGCAAATGACTTGCTCACATCACACGGGTGGTCCACATCCCTGGCTTTGCAAGGAGGGAATGTCTTGTGATTGGGTATCAATATTCTTGTGATTATGTAGCAATATTCTTGTGATTAAGTAGCAATATCAGACCCAAAAACAAGTTCAGCCATTCTTAGCTAGGAGACACAACGTTGAGTGGCCCCCGCAACTGGAGTTGGCTATTCCATGTCCATCGAGCAATCATTCTTCCATTTCTCTTCCTCGCTTCCTTCACTTCCTCGCTTCCATCTCTGCTCGTGCAGACCGGAGTAGCTAGTCACTGCGAAGGCTGCACCAACAATACTTCCAACCGTTGGCTCTTCGTGACCTCATCTTTCATGAGGCGCGACCATGGGTGTTGCCAACAGGGCTGATTTTATCAGACTATTTTAGTCTGATTGTCTGAAATTTCAGACCTATTTTTTTGCCGATCCTGATTTTTCAGACTTGCCAATTTCTGAATGCTGAACCCTTCAGAGTTATATGTTTTTGAATCCTGAGAATCTCAGACTTGGCAGTTTGTGGATACTGAGTTTTCAGAGCACAGCGCGTACGGACCCTGAGACAGACATACCTACCTGCCCTCACACATAAATTTTCGTCCATATCCCCAACGGCCAGAGTCAAGTCCTTTCACACACCCCGCCCCGCAACCTATAAAATCTGGCTAAGTCCTAGTAGCCAGAGACAGCTCCCCCCAGCACAACCAGCAGCGCGTAAAAATTGTTGAAGTCCTGTTCTAGAGACACCCTTCTCACACCCCCAACACCCACAAAAGACTGACTATGTGACTGAGACTGACATACTGCACCTTGTCAAACATGTGTATTTGTCATGTTTGTATAGACTGTATAGGGTAGCCTCTTAGAGGGTACAACACTTAGGTATATCTGTGTGTACCCTCTCTCTAACATCATTCACTTCTTCAATTCTTGTTACACCTATCAGAATTGGAATTGAATGATGGTAAAGAGAGAGGTGTATACACCCTATACAAGAATGATGGTAACGAGAGAGGCAAGGACCCGAGGAACGAGAGGACGAGCGGCACGAAGGTAGTCGGACAGCGGGGGGGGCGCAACAACAAGGGAGGACGGAGGAGGCGACGGGAGAAGGGGAGGACGAGACGCGTGGGAACGAAGCAACATAGGGTGGGAGCGCAAGACAGGCGAGGCAGGACGGGCACGGGAGGGGCGGTGAGACCAGACGTGCGACGGAGGAGTCGGGTCAGGAGACAGGGGAGGGGACACAGGAGGGGAACGAGGGGGGAGACGAGCCGGGGACGAGTCCGGCGGAGGGAAAACAGGGCCGTAGACAGGAAGAGGAGGAGACGGTCGGGGAGGAACCGACGCAGGGTCGGGGGACGGAAGGCCGAGCAGGCGAAGGGCGGACACCGGCGGGGACCGCTGCTGCGGCGGCACAACGGCGACACCTGGACCGCAAGCTGCTCCTCGGCGACCACCGGCACTCTCCACACCAGCACCCCCAGAGGGACCACCCCCAGGGCGACCGGGACGAGCACCCCCAGAGTCAGCGAACGGGGGCTGCGACGGCGGCGGCGGCGGCGGCGACGACGACGGCTGAAGCAGCGGTAGAGGCGGTGGAGGAGGGGACTGGGGAGGGGACGCCAGGGGAGGGGCGGCCGGCGAGGACTGCACAGGAGGGCCACCAGAGTCAAAAGACTCCTCAACCGGGTCCACCGACGGAAGAGGGGTGACGTGGGACACACCAGAGGGGGCGGGACGGGGAGGAGGAGGAGGAGGGGCAGGGACTACCGGGGAAGGGGTGACCAGGAACAGGGGGGGGGTAACCGGGGGACCACGGTGGGGAAAGCGGCGGTAGTAGGAGACAGACTCGTCAAAGGTGACGTCACGAGAGTGAAAGAAGCGGTGAGACGGCGGGTGGTAAAAGTGCCAGTCGGACGCGTCAAGGGGAAAACCGAGGAAGACGCAGGGAAGGGTGCGGGTAGTGAGCTTGTCCGTGCCGGAGGCACGGACGTGAGCAAGGCAGCCCCAGACGTGGAACGCAGACGCGTCACCAGGGGACCCAGTCCAAAGACGGGTCGGCGAAACCTGCGGCTGCTGAGGGTGCGGCCACAGGTTAAGCTGGTGAGAAGCGTAGCGCACAGCGAACGGCCACAGAAAATGGGGTGCACCGGCATGGATCGTGGAGGTGCGAGCGACCTCCATGACCAAACCGATGCGTCGCTCAGCGACCCCATTCTGCTGTGGGGAGTCCGGTAGGGTGAACGTCTGGGTGATGCCCTCCGCACGACAAAAGCGACCAAGGACACCGGAGGCAAACTCGCCACCATGGTCTGAGTGAAGACGCAAGACAGGGAGACCGCGGTGGACACGCGCAGAGACAAGCCAGGGGATGAGAGCGCCAGGCACGTCGGCCTTGCGCTCCAGGGGAAAGACGGTGGTGTAACGAGTGAAGTCGTCGACAAGCACAAGGAAGTAGCGCTCTTGACGCGGCCCCGGGACGGGGGCGGGGCCCCAGACGTCCAGGTGCAGGGTCTGCAGCGGTGCGGCAGTAGGGGGAAACGAGGAGGAGTGAGGGGCACGGCGAAGCCGACCCTCGACACAAGGCGTACAAGGTGGGGCTGGAGAGGAGGGAAACGCGGGGAGCCAACCTGGGAGACCAAGGACGAGACCGTGCTGAGACATGTGACGCAGACGCGGGAGCGCAGGGTGACCTAGGCGGTGGTGCCACAGGAGGGTCGGGTGAGTGAGGGAGCGACAGGAGCAGGCAGCAGCAACCTGGGTAGACGCAGCCACCGGAGGGGGCGCTCCAGCCGGGGGGGTCACGGTGTCCAGAGTGAACAGGCCGGACACCGGGTCCCGGGGGAACGTGGACAGGGGGGCACCAGTGGCGGCCTCGGTACAGACAGCATACCGCTCGTGACCAGGGAACGTAGTGGTGACGCCAAGGTCCTGGAGGCAGCCGACACCAACTAGGTTCCTGGAGAACGAGGGGATATGCAGACCTGTAAGAGAACCCGAAGGAACCGCCGGAAAGGGAAGGGTGGTGGAACTGCGGGCGACTACCGGACCGCCGGAGGGGTCAGCAAGAGAAACGGCAGCAGGAACAGGAAGCGGCGTCAGGGTGGTGGAGTCGCGGAAGAAACACCGAGAGGCGCCAGAGTCCAAGGTGAAGGAAAGCGAAGCCGAGGGGTCTGGCGACGGAACGACGGCGGAAGCACCAAGACTACACAAAGCAGGGGATCCTACGCCTGACGCAGCAGGGGAGGCTAAGCTAGGCACACATACACTAGGCAACAGTGAGTAATAAGCGGGAAGCACACTAGAGTCATCAGCATACATCACATGCAGAGCAGAAACAATGGCATCCATGTCCATATCAAAAATCTGAATCTGACGACTAAGCAAACTATGCCAGTCCAGGAGGTCTGGCGACGGGCCGAAGCGCTGACGAAAGAGGTCGTCCAGGCGACGAAAACAGCGGGGAGTGGAGTGACTGAGCTTACCGCAAACGAAGCCGCGGCGAGGACCGGTCTGGATCTGGTACTGACAACGCCCGCCGCCAGAGCCACCACGCGGCACACCACCACGCGCCCGGCCACCGCCAGCGCCGGGCCACCCTGGCGGGAGGACACTCGTCTGCCGCGTCTGCGACGTTTGCTGCGGCTGCTGCGAAGGCTGCGACTGCGGCGGCTGCTGCGGCTGCTGCACCTGCAGGGGCGGCGACTCAGCTGAACTGGGCAGGGTCCCCTCGCCCACTCCAGCACCAGGCGACCCGACCCCACCACTACCCCCGCCCGCACCCCCGCCGCCTCCTCCGCCGCGCCCAGCCTTGGGGCGGCGGCCCTTCCCCGAACGGACCTGCGCTGCAGCAGCAGTCTCAGCCACTGCGGCAGAGCCGTCGGAGAAGGTGCACTGAGCGGGGGCACAACCCTGAAAGATAGGGACCGGCACGACACCGCTCGCCTGGGCAATGGAGCGGTGACGGGTCTCTATCACAGTCAGGGTGTCTACAAAGTCAGTGAGGGTGAGGTCTGCGGGGTGAACGCTAAGAAAGCGGTCGCGGGCGACAGCAAGGCGGTCAGGGAGGCGGGTGGCAAGCAGGTAGAGGGTAGAGGTAATGGGCGGCTGGTGGGCTCTAAGCTGGGCGTCAGTGCAGGCAGCGCGCCAGGTCTCAACTATCGAGCGCAGGTGGGCAGCGAGGTCAGAGACAGTGGGGAAAGATGCTAGGTCAGGAAAGATCATCGGAAGGATCAGGCGACCCACCGAGGCAGCCGGAGGGGTGGAATAGCGCTGGATCACAGCATCTAAGTATGCCTGAGCAGTAGTGAGGGACCTAAAGCGAGGACGCTCGGATGGGGGAAGGGCGTTTGCTAATGGCAAGCTGGGCAACAGCATCGCGAGAAAGCCAGACAGAGCGCGCACGGGCAGTGGCAGCAGTAGCCTCACGCTCAGTGGGTGTGGGGTCAGCGGGCAGAATAGAAGGGGGGTCTGGGCAGGGGAGCGTACCGTCAAGGTGTGCGGAAAGCGGTTCACCATCCTGCCGCTGGCCAGTGAGTTGACGGCGGAGGTCGGCAAGCCACGCCTCGAACTCTAGGGGCTGACCTTCAGCGTCGAAGCGAAGCTCCGCCGCCATCAGGAACAGTCCAGTGCAGTGCAGGGCAGTGCAGTGCGGTGCAGTGCGGTGCAGTGCGGTATAGTGCGGTGCAGTGCGGTGCAGTGCGGTGCAGTGCGGTGCAGTGCGGTACAGTACGGTGCAGTGCGGTGCCAGGCAGTACAGTGTGGTGCGGGGCGGCACGGAGCAGGGCGGGGTGGGGGGGAACCGTACCAGTGAGGAGGACGGGGCCGGGGCTGGCCCGACGGGGCCGGGCGGGCGCGACGGGGCCGGGCTGGTGCGACAGGGCCGGGACGGGGCGACGGGCCGAGCGGCGCGACGGGGCCGGCTGGGGCGACGGGGCCGGGCGAGTGCGGCAGGCGCGGGCCGGTGCGACGGGGCGGCGGCTGCGCGGGGCCGGGCAGGTGGGACGGGGCCGGGCGGCTGCGACGGGGCCGGGCGGGCGCGACGGGGCCAGGCGGCTGCGACGGGGCCAGGCAAGGGCGACGGGGCAGGCGGCTGCGACGGGGCCGGGCGGGCGCGACGGGGCCAGGCGACTGCGACGGGGCCGGGCGGGCGCGACGGCGCCGGGCGGGCGCGACAGGGCCGGGCGACTGCGACGGCGCCGGGCGGGCGCGACGGGGCCTGGCGGCTGCGACGGGGTCGGGCAGGGTGCGACGGGGCTCAGGAGGGGCGCGACTGAGCCCAGGAGGGGCGCTACGGGGCCTGGGCGGAGCGCGACGAGGCCCAGGAGGGGCGCTAGGGGGCCTGGGAGGAGCGCGACGGGGCCTGGGAGGGGCGCGACGGGGCCTGGGAGGGGCGTTACAGGGCCCAGGAGGGGCGCAACAATACCAGGAGGGGCGCGACGAGGCCCAGGAGGGGCGCTACGGGGCCCAGGAGGGGCGCGACGGGGCGCTA